AGAAATTTCCAGAGGAGTTTCAGGGTAAGCGGTGATGATTTTCCTGTCTCTCACTTTTGGAGCAGAGCTCTCTACAAGGGGTTTTTCTCAGTCACCCTCTCTACAAGTACAAAAGTTTGAAGGGACCCCAACTCCCAGCTTGTGACTGGTGTGCAAATACCAGGACAGGTTTTGTGGGCATGTTCCAGTCCCTTCCAAAATCTCTGCCTCTCCAAATATAGGTGGCCATTGAAACTTAGTATGTATTGTATAGGTGGCCTTTGAGCCATAATAAACTCTATGTATTGTATAAGTGGCCTGTGAGTCTCGGTGAAATCTATGTATTGTAGAAGTGGCCTTGCCCTGATCCTAGTTGTTCTAAATGGGCTGCAGCTGTGATGTCCTTCATTGGGCGGCAGCTGTGGCTAATGAAGATAACTGGGATTAAAAGGGGTGGGTTGGCTGGTCAGGGAGAGCCTTGGAGGAGCCCTGAAGAATAAGAAGCAGGAAAAAACACTGCTGTGGAGAGCTGCGTGTGAGAAAACCACCCAGAAGGTATGGGGCTCTACAAATATAATGACAACAAGTGGTGACCCCGACGTGAGAGAAGACAGGACAGCCCAGAGCTGTGGCAGCCTGAGAGCTGGGCCTTTGGAAACATAATAACAACATCCAAAGACAGTAGGCACCATCCTCCCAGGTTTATTGAGGAACTCAGGCCACCAGGCTTAAATATGGTTATGTAAGCATGCAAAGCATTGTTGATGTTCAGCTAGCAGAAGGTAGCAGGAGAGTAGAAAAAGTTCTTGTGTTGCTGAAAAACTTTTCAAGCTACTCAGCTCAAAAGAGTCATCTATGAAATTGACATATTTTTTCCATTTTTTCAAGTGGAACTTTTCAGAAATTAAATTATGCATACCCGGAGATAGCTGGTTTAAAACTGTAAACTAAAAGAGGACCACGACCCTCTGCAGAAATTAAATCACATGGCAGCTGAGCTGCTGACCCATCTGCAAAAGAAAATTGTCATCCTAGGTTGAAAACACTTTGAGATGAACCTTTGTGCTTTCAGAGCTTATTAGTGGCAGTCTGGTTCCTCAAAAATCATTATAGGTATAAGACTGTCTGAATTACATTTTCTCTTAACCAGGCAATTAAAAAAATATTTTATCAACTAATATTATCAGATATTTTTGTTGTCATTGTTATGAAAGTTTCTTCACCACCAGAAACCTGGTATCTTATAATAATTTGTATTCTTTTCCATCTGTTGAAAAGAGTGTGCTTAATGCCTTTTTGATGTTCCAATAACATCATGTTCGGGTGTCTTTGCTAAGATCAACTTTATTTTCTAACAATTATGTATTAGGGCAAAATCATTATGTGAAAGCACATTTTCCACCCCTCTCTGGCCCATATTTGCAGCACTCAACCATTGCTACTTTTGCCAGATTTGATTTTTCTTCAACCTCTTAGGGCTGAAATCTTGTTTCATTTCTGGTAATCCTAAAAAGGTAGGCATGATAATAAAAAAATAATTTCTATGCTGCTACCCCAAATGAGGAGTTACAGACAATATCTGCTCAATTGCTCCTCTTTTCACGTGGCAGATAGTCAAGAACTCATTATTTGCATGGTATTCTGAGGTCACTTAACAAGGGGGTTCATAATTGGAATTTATAGCTCTTTATTTGAGCTTCACCTACTCACCAATGAACATGTGAGTTTATATTGTTAAGACAAGAGCTTTATATATTTTTTCTTTTTTTTTTGGGTCTTTTACCAGGATTACCCAGATATTCCCAGCAGGGTGGAAAACAATGGCATTTAGTGAGAGAAATTTCAGGGAGGGACTGGAGAAACTCACAGAAGATGGGACATGACTGGGTTATAAATATGGTCCCTGAGATTTGAAATTCAGTTTAGGCAGCTCCTAATCCACTAATTCCAGACACACTGGAAGAGCAGAGCATCCATAGGGCTTTGCAGTGGGTCTGATATTCTTTATTCACACTGTTTTTTTTCTGAAACCACTTTTTCTTGGGATGTGGGTTTGCACTTCTGATACTAGAGAATTCAAATGCATAGTATGGCCAGAAAAAAAAAAACAACAAACAACTCCAATTACAGAATTTCTTCTTCCTTCTGAAGTTATGTGCCAAATTCTTCCTTTTGAGTCACAGCCATTGAATCTATTTTGAGCTAAGAGTGTTACTACACGAGGTTTTGCAAGTGACTGGACTGGATTGAGCACAGGGAGCCAGGTCCTGTCTGTTTCTACAGAAATAACAAGGAAAACATCGACTGCATTGCATTATCTTAAATCAACACAAGGCTGTGGCTAATTGTTTTGAGATATTAGTTCCGTGGTATCACACAGCAGGGGTTTAATGATTCCCATGAATGCAGCACCTTGTAACTATTGAAAGGGCTGGGGACATGACAGGTGACACACTGTCCTTTGCTGCACTAGGTGTGGAAATAAATACCTTGCCACGCAGAGGACAAACCAGAAATTGTGCAACAGCAATTAACTAAATCTTGCCTTCAGAAGGAACTGTAGACACACCTTGCTCTCTGCAAGGAGATCAAAGAGCTCCAGAAATGTGTTTGCCAAGGCCTCTCCAGAGCGTTATCCCCAGATCACCTGGACTGTGAGTGACATGGCAGAGGTGTTGACTTCTCTGGCATCTCCAAGCTCACATCTGAGACGTCGTGCAGCTCACATTTGTGCCTTTGGAGAAATTAATTAAGCAGCTTTAGAAAGCAACAGGAGCAACCTGCTGCTTCTCAGTGGATTCAGGACTAGGCAGAGCCACAGCACTTTGTGTTATCTGAATAGTCCTGCCTGTCACTTCATTATTCTCTTTGCTGTCTCTCAGATTTAGCTTGCACTCACTGACCTGCCTTGTTTGTTTGTTTTGAATTACCAAACCATTCACAAAATCCTTGGCTAGGAAGATATTCTTTGTTTCTCAAGACACAGCTGCCTTTTCAAAGATTCCCTGCTATTTGCCAAACACATAGGTCTGTATTGTGTTTATTTTCATATGTGCTCCAAAAGGTAAAGGAATCAGCTTCTGATGTGCAGCAGTTACAAAATAAAACATAGAAAACAGTACCTCTAGTAGAGCAATGTGAAAAAAATACTTCTAAGATTTGCAGGATTTTATTTAAATATGTATTTTATTCCTCTGCAGATTTTATCAACATTACACACTGAGAACACTAAGCATATCATCAAAAGACAATGAGGGGAGTAGTAGGCTTTTCTAATTCTAAGGAAAAACAATTGTAATTGTCATTTTAGGCTCCAGGGGTCTATAATTAAGTCCTATTGGTGCACTGGAATGAATAGTTCTGTTGTGTTTTACCCTTTGGTCATGTTCATCTGCTCAAAACTCACTTCTTTTGCAAACAGGAGTGATCAATAGCATCTTTTTCTTACCCGTTCCTTTTATTTTCTTATTTTTCCTTTCACTTGTCCACAGAGGCATCCAGACTGTTCCAGTCCGAGTCTTTCCCCTCTCCCACAGGTGTGGAATTGTCACACACTGTGTTATAAATGATCAAAGGAATTATCTCTACTATATACCACACACTGCAAGCTGCTGGTTCCCATTCCTAAAGGGAATCGAAGGTGCTGCTGGAAATGCCACTGGACAGACAAAATTTTGAGTGGTAAAATCCTCTAAATTCCAAACAATTATCTCTTGCTTTGATGAAACCTTAAATAGAAAATGCTATCGGGTTTTCTCTTCCATCTGTACTTGTCTATAGGAGGGAGATCCTTATATTTTTAAATATTCTTTCACAAATATCAGCAAATCAGAGATTTATCTGCAATCAATCTGCAACTGCCCCTTTAGTACAAAGTGGCTCACTTGCCCATGACATTCAAAGAACGAATTATTTCAGGAGTTAAGCATAGGTGCTAACCCAGATAATTGCCTTATTGAAGTGTAAATTGACCAAAGCCACTTTACAATTGTCACGATGACCAAAGCAGATGGTCGCATTTGGAGAGGGAAAGTGACACCGACAGAAATCAGTGTGTGCTCTCAAACAAAGTCGAGTGATTTCTGATTGTGTGCTGATAAAAAACGGGACTCAGAATTCTTTAAGACAGACTCATAAAGAGATATCAAATCCCTGCAAATTTTGATAAAAGAAGCACATCTGAATACTCCTTATGATTTCGGCACAGGTTTTTGTAATTGTACAACAAAACTTTGCACTCTTCTAAATTAAAACCTTCCTGCCTGCTAATGTCTCATTCAGTGAAGCCTTTACTAACAGGAATTAAATTGTTCATGACTTTCACTCACAGACAGTGGCCTAAAAGGGTATTTTTGTTGTTTTGTTTTTAGATATGTGATATGCAAAACTAGGGGCAACAGCACAACAATGTTAAACTGCCGAAATCTCTATTAACTGGGCTTTGAGTAAAATTAGGAAGACAACTCTGATCAAACAGTTATTCTGCCACTCATATTTCCCCATCACATTCCTTGCCTTCATGATATTCCATCCTTTGATGTGTGTGCATTTTCTAGCAGATTAAGCAAGATTTGGTGTAAAACCAATGCAATTTAACAGGGGGAGCAAACTGAATTAAGATGAACCAACTCGAGAAGGCTTTAATGAAGTTTAAATACGAAGTAGCCTGAACACTGAGTAATGTTTTGAGAAAAATAATAGATAAGAATTATTTATCTATTCTGTTATTTGAGAAAAATAACAGAATATTATTTTTGAGAAAAATAATAGATAAATAAGAATTAAAAGAAAAAGGCAGCTAAAACCAAACAAGAAACCCCACAACCAAACCAAACTAAAACACAGACTGCTCATGAGAAGCAGCACAAGCACAGTGGAAAAGAAAGAGCCATCCCTGAAAACAGCTAATTTGGGTAAAGATATCAAATTTAGATATAAATAATAGAGTCCTTATACATAACAGACACTGACAATAACTTATGCAAAGCATTACCTGCAGGTGCTATTTGCCCTACATTTACCTTAATCTTCACCTTAATCATTCCGCATCAGTAGCAGAAGGTAAATTTAGTTATTTGATAGAAAGAATGAAAGAAAGAAAGAGAGAGAAAAAACCCCAAAAAACTAACAAAAATTTTTAAAGGATCAGGCCTTTTTGCAAAAAATAAGGTTACTTCATTTCTTTGCTGTAATTTTCTTCAAAATGCATTTGGATTTTTCAATTCTTCCAAGGTGAAGGAAGTGGCCAGATGCTTTGCTTTGCTTACAGTGCAGCAAAAGAAACAGATTTGTGTCAGTGAAGAGCAAATGGGATGCCTTCAATGTGCCAGACAACTGAGATATATCCATTAATATACGTATTTTATAATTGAGGACACAAGCAGGGAAGCTGCTCAAAACTCAGTAATTTGCTTTAGGTTTTCTGCTGCCACTAAGAACAGCATTTCCAAGCATTTCTGTGAGCAGCATGGCCTTTGCAGGGGCTCAGGACAAGAATTACTCTGACAGGTTTGTGTCAGGTTTTTAATTCAAGTCAAATGGAATTGTAATTTTTTTTTTTTCATTTATCTTTCCTCCAAAGACAAACAATATTTTTACCAAGAGAGAGAAAGGAGAGAAACTGTAAAAATAAAGCACACACACACAAAAATCTAATGTTAGGTTATTTTTTAAAAGGAATTGTCCATATCAGCTTAAAAAGAATTTGTTGTATTTAGCAATTCCAAGTGTTAAGGAATGTGCAGCAGAAGATAGAGTAGCATAGAAATAAAGTCCAAATCTTGTTCTATTGTTTGGTCCCTAAGTTCCCAAGGAATTTGTGCCTCAAATATCTGCAATCTTGGTCAATCTTCAATAATGATATTTAATCTGACTCTGCGAACTTCCTCAGAAAAGGGTTGCCTTTATTTACTGTTTTCTTTAACATGTTTATATTTAGCTAAGGCTAAAATTTGAAACATGAAGTCCCTTGGAGATTTTTCCACCTTTGGAAGAGTAATATGCATTCCAGAACATCTAATGTTCTGGTTAAAATGCTAAAAGTCTTAATTTCTATAAGTGAAATTTATCTGAAACTCAAGTATATAAAATCATAGTTGTTCCTTTGGAAAGGGAAAAATTGTATCTGTCATAAAAACGTTAATTTTATAATCAAATAATTGCCAAAATACCAGCTCACCTGGGTTCTAATATTGTTCTAGTAACATATAGAAATAAAATACATTTTTTTTCCCCACTGCTTGGAAATTCATGTATGTGTCTTCCACCATACTCACTGCATCAAAGAGGTTCATAGTTTTTTTTCCCATCTGAAATATAGCATTTTTCAGTTGAAGTTTATCCTGTGTTTTGGAAAATGAACTGTCCTTGAGGTGGAAATTCCAAGTGATGGAAATTACAGCTGATTGGAAAAAAAATCCCATAGAAAAAAATCTCAAATGAAATATCTGCGTTCAGATTTATTCAGCTGAGATTGAGAACTGAAAGTCTCAAATTATTGCGTAAGAAGAAGTTTTAACCAGTCTTAAATACAATAGCATTGGGATGGGATGTTAAGCATCAAAACTTTGAAAGTTTTCTTTGTTTTTTTGCAAAAGAAGAATCATATTAGACGTACCTTTAAAGAAAGTTCAAATGTGGGGAAAAGAATGAACATTTTCCAAATGTCTTACAACAAAGTTATCATTAATTGCAAAAAGAATAACTCTCACTGGAGAAAACCTTGTTATCTGTTAAAAAAACAAAGAAAGAAAGAAAAAAAAAAAGCGCCTTTGACAGGTGGTTTTAGTAGTTAATTATTCTCATTTATAATTTACATTTAAATTTAATTTTCCATCACCAACTGCCAGACAATTGTCCCCCTCTTTGCTTCAGAGTCAGGGAACCTCTTCTGTCAGGCCCTCTAGGTACTGTTTGAGATTGTAATCAAGTTATATTTAAGATTCTCTTGTTTTGGCAACCACAGTTCTCAATCCAGTCTTTTACCAGAGAAAAAAAATGAAAAAAAAAAAAAAAAGACAGTTCTTCTCTTTAAAAGAGATTAAATGTGGTTTTGAGAATTTTAGTCGAGGAATCAGTGAACAATTCACTGAGGTTCTTTTGGCACCATTTCCCAAAAATCAGTAGGTAATTATCTTATTCACTTTTAAACCAAGCATTTCTCTGTGTAGAGAATGTAATAATGTAATTCTTAATCTGCACTTAAAATATCTGTTTACACAGTCGCCAGAGTGACGGTTCCAAGCTTAGAAGATGAACTAAACCTTTCATTATCCCTAATAAAACAAAACCTCTTTAAATAAGACCTATTGTGGTGTCTCACTGCTCTTTGGAAGGAAACAAAAGAAAGAAAAAAAAGATAAATTTTTAAAGTAAGTTTGACAGGAAAAACATGTTCAGCAAAGAAGTGTCGCTTATTTAAAGGGCTCAGATTCTGAACAGACTGCTACTACTATTTGCAGATTTCATTTTCTGATGTTTCTCATTCTTCCATAAATATCAAAGGAGTCGCCTTTAAAGACTATTTCAAACTGGTTATAAGGAAAGTTTTGTCTCTTGCAACTCATAAGTTAGGGGGAAAAACCACACTTAATCAAACTGCTTCTGGTCTGTTTTCCTTTTTAACTCCTGTTTCATGCTGGGATCACAGGGAAGCTGAAAAGCAGAACTCCTTCCCGCAGCATAATTTCTATTCTTTATAGAAATACACAACTCTACTTGTATAGAGATGGGGTGGCAAAAATATTTTTGCTTGGCTTGTGTGTGCAGCTTTGCCTTTCTTGTTAAACTGTCTTCATTGTGATCAATTTCCCTCGATTTTGCTCTTCTGATTTGCTTCTCCTTCCATCCCACAGTGGGTAGGTGGGGTTGGGAGTAAGAGGAGGGCTGGTGAGTTGTTGGTTGTTCATGTACGTGATGAGAGAGTTTGCTTTGCCACCCCCTGACTCTGCCACTGGCCTTGCCATGCTCTGTGAGCCCTCACAAGAAGCAGAATCCATCAATAACTTAGATTTAGCAGCCCAAGCCCTCTCCCTGTGGGATGCTGACCACACCAAATTCCTGGTCCTCACCCTCACCTGGGCAGGTTCATCTCCTGCACCATGCCATTGGCACAAAGCTGGCCAAAAACTGCACCTCCAAACCAATGTGGGCTGGTTTGATTCGTGGCAGGTAAATCTAATTTACCGGCAATCAGGATGGGGAGGGTGATGGGGTGAGAGTTTGGTCTGGAACAATGGACAAGGAAACAAATTTGTATTGCCTGGGATTCACAGGAAAACAGGAAAGGGAAGGGAAGTTCAGGGAAGGGAAGTTCAGGGAAG